ATGTTTGAATCACATTTCTGAACAATGATTCGGCAGTATGTTTAATTTAATAAAATACTTTCTCCAACATCGTAAGTGTTTATGTATTTATATATATATATGCCATCTTGACAAAAGTTCTTGACAGATGATATTCTTGTACTCTCATAAAACTTTTGGACTTCCTGAGATCATTTTCAGGAATTTTTTAAACAAACAAGTAATAGACTTAAATAATAACATGCATTGGCCTCTTTTAATGCAATATTGGAGTATGTATATCATTGAATTGTTTGTGTGGTGAAAGATACAGTGGTATAAATCAAAGCTCAATGGAGAATCAATTTGCGTATAAGCAAAGAGTGAGATTAAAGGGGTATTGTGTCTAAGAATATATATAGTGGCTCTCTAAGTACGTATATTTCTCTTGATAGTATGTAGAAAGTATCTCTTATGGCTAAAAAATTAGAGGTATTTAAAAATGAGGAATATTTTCTAATGATGAGTGAGATAATGGGTTATAATCGTTTTACCCTAATGAGCCCCATTGTGTGTGAGACAAACACATTCACCTATATGTGTGGTCTTTACTTGTGTGTGGGAGTGAAATCTCTACAATTAAAAATCTCATTTTGACGGGGATTGGTCTTTAGTTATAGCTACAAGATAATGTTGAGATTACTCAAAATCTCACTTTATAGATGCTAAGAAATGATCCCTCAAAAGAGTCTTAGTGACCAACCCGTTCATATGACCGGTCCAGAACAATCATTGTTTTCAATCTCTTGCCCCACTTTCTTTATATCTTCAAAGTGCTTTGGAATAAATGACTATGCACGATTAAGTTTTAAAATTAAAAATACACATATATACATAACGGAGAGTCAAAGAGAAGGAGGATATAGTGTAGCGGCGGAGGAATTAAGCAGATTTTCAGGACCAAGTAAGAAAGGAAAAGAACCTCGTTCTTGGGAGATATAAACTATGAACCCTCCACGACCTTATCCATGGATACATATGAACGAAATATTTTTGTTCTATTTTTCATTAATTAATCCTTTTTTGAATTATTATAATCCTTGCTATCCTTTGCTAATAACTCGTTTTTTGTGTTTTTTTTTTTTTAAAGAAAAGGTTTCTCATGATATGATGATGTCAAAGAAAATGAAATGCGGATAAAGATAGATTTAAAAACCCAAAAGAAAAATGCTGTAGCACTCTGCCTAAGAAGAAAAAGAACGACCGCATCATGCATTAAAAAGAAGGAGAAGCAGACCAAAAGAATATAGGAATTTCAGCCACCTTCAATAAACTAAAGATGTGATTCCTAACAGCCAAGCGGGGTTAGGATAAAGGTGTCAAAATGGGTTGACACGACATGAATTTGACACAATATGAATACATCAACACGAACACAATACTAATTTTTATTCGTGTCAAAATCTTCAACACTAACACGATATGAATTTTTTTTACGAGTTAACACGATACAACACGAATAACACGTAAAATAGGGGTCAAAATGGTAATTGACAAAAAAAAATTTAAAAAATGTCGAAATTAAAAAAATAATAATAAAATAATTAAAAAAATATGGGTCAACACGAACACGAATACATCAACGCGAACAGGACACGAATTTTTTACGTGTCATTTTTTCCAACACAAACATGACATGATTTTTTTATTGCGAGTTAACCCGAACACGAATTTTCGTGTCGTGTCACAGATCGACCGCGTGTCATAACCTATATTTATATCCCTAGGTTAGGATGAGCGTTGGCCCTCTAAACTCAGACAATTCTTCCTAAATCTTACGGAAAGATTAAAAAAAAAAAAAAAAGATTTGAAGGGTTGGCCCCCACTTAAAAAACGTCCATGTCATAGATTCCTTCATGTCCTAATTAGTTCGCTTGGTTTTGAAAAAATTCTTATGTAATCTAAAGAGCAATACATATAGGATTTTATTTTTGTCCACTCTAAGGTGGTGGGATTGATTTATATTATATGTTTCAAGTCTCTGATTTCCTTAATGGTAGTCAGGAGGTTGCTTCTCCGTATGCAACCAACATATGGTGAAACACTTGCACGAACTCAATGCTCAAGTCAAAGTGAAAGAGATGGAGTAATGTGTAAAGTAGAAAATCGGGCATAAGCTCTATATATAGATATTGTTGTGAATATTTCATGGTACGAATAGTGGAAACGAGCGATTGCTGCGGGTAAGGATTGTGAAGATAAGCACAATGCAATTGGGAGAAAAAACAAGACATAGAAAAATGCAATACGCAATGCACTATCCACATATATATATATATATATATATATATATATATATATATATATGGAGCAGGATCATCTTACACCAGTATAAGAATAATAAATTTTACACCAAATCTTAATCATTGATTTTCTGCATCTAACGGTTAAGAATTATTATATATGTCTCACTCATTAACTAATTTTTAATTCCCAATAAATCTCAACCGTTAGATGCACGAAAATCAGCGGTTAAGATTTGGTGTAAGATTTATTATTTTTACGCTGGTGTAAGTTGATCCTATCTATATATATATATATATATATATATATATATATATATATATATATATTGAAAGAGCTTCCTATGTAATTTGACAAAACTTAACCAAATTAACTAGCCGTATTTCAATGAATTGGTAAAGATTTTAAAAAATAAAGAATAAGGTCATGGGTATATTTTTTAATTAATTGAAATGTATTTCGGTTTTTTTTATGGGAAAAAAGAAAAAAATTCCCATTCTAATGTCAAAAGCACTGGTAAAGATTTACAAAAATAAAGAATAAGATCATGGGTATATTTTTTAATTAATTGAAATGTATTTCGGTTTTTTTTTAAGAGAAAAAAGAAAAGTTTGCCCATTCTAATGTCAAAAGCACGCCATACAAGTGTTAATAATGACTTACAATAGCACTTATTAATGATATATATCGGTATAAGTCTTCTCCTATGAATCGGAAAGACTAATCTCCCTTTGAGGAGAGAGGCACGTCTTCTGGCCCTCAAAATTTTTTCAAGAATTTGAACCCTGACCCGAGCAAATTCTTGGAAACTCAGTTCTCAACTGAGTTACCTTTAGGATTTTTTATATACAACTATTTTAATTTGAACACCACTTATTTTTGTTTTCAGAATAAAATTATATTACGAGCTTTGCTAATTATGCAAAGCTTTCGTTACAATTGGTATGATCAATGAAAAAGTAATCTATATATATATATTGAATTTTAAAGAAAATAATTAAAGATATTTTAATTCTTAAATTTTAGTGAGATAATTAAGATTATAATTCAGCATAAATTAAAACAATCATAATGCATGAGATCAGATTTTCACTATAAATTTAATCAATCATGGTGTGTATGAAAAAAAGAATACGATACACTTTATATCAAATCAATCTTGAGTATACCATTATTTACTCACTTTAAAACAAAAACTTACTTTAAAAATAAAAAAAGGCATGCATTAGATAAGTCACTGAGTGTTAGAAAGCCAATAGTATACATGTCAAATGAATAGCGAGAATGAGGAAAGAATAGATTAAATCTTAGACTTTGTGTAACTTCTATGGGGCGGCGCTGCGCAAATGATGAGGCCATATAAAGATAAATTGTAAAAAAAAAAAAAATTATAAATAAATAAGAAAGTGACAAGCTATCTTTATAATTAATTTTTTTTCTAGCGACTATTTTTTAAGAAAGATATATCATATAATTTCTTGATGGTGTAATTTTTTTTGTAATAAGAGCATTAACAATAAATCCCATATCCAATTACGCATAATAAATTAAATTAGGTGTTTTGATGTTATTTATGGGAGATACGTTATGTTTTTTTTTAAAGTACTTATAGTGTTATTTTTCAACAAAAATTAAAAATATAGTATATATAGTTATTTAACTATTTCATTTTCATTATTAAAGTTTTTAAAGTCAAGAAAAAAATAAATAATAGACACATTATAAGAGTTATATTTATTTTATTTTTTTGAGTTTAAATTTAACATGTTATTAATTTTAAGATTTTTTTCTGATTTTTTTTCTCAATTGTGTTGTGTCTCCACCTATTTGATAATACTAATTCCCTTCAGTTCTTTTTTTTTTTTTTTTTGATAACATTTCCCTTCAGTTCTTTAGGTATATATAATGTGACAGTTTTTGCCACTAACCCCAAGTTATTTTGCCTAAAATTTTCTTATGTTTTTTAGATATTTAAATTTTTAACATTACTGACAGATAAAACCTACTGGCCAATTAATTTTTTTGTTTCTCAAGATATCTCCATTTATTTGGATGAGACTAATTCCAAAGCTTAAAGATTTTTTATCACTATCCTCAAGGTGACTCGCCTACTAGCCATTTTTAATTACTGTTGTCTCTCGCCCTTAATTTTACCCATTATAAAGTTACGGTAAGCCACCTGCGACGTGATCAATGAGGACCCGCAAATCAAGTGAGATATTGTTAGCAATAAAATCGTGTTTTATTTTGTCTTGTCATTTTATTCTTTCTGTAGTGCACAAGCTTCGCTTTCCAACTCTTTTATCACTGTCACGCCTTCAATTTCCATTTCGGTTCTTGCACAAGAATCTCTCCACCACTATTAGGTCTTCAATTTTCAATTTGATTATTTAACATGTATCCTCTCAGGTTAAATAAAACATGACATGATCATGTAGGAAAAATATAATCATACAAAGATAAATTAACTATATTAATTTTGTAACTATTTATTTTAATAAAAAATTTTCTCTTTTTCTTTATCATTTTTCATTTACCTTTGTATGTGTAACATATATATCCACTCCGAACTTATTAATATCTTAGTCCACTAATATTTTATAAGAAGCATAATGTTCAAAAACAATCCTTATTTCTCACCCTGCCACTATCACTTTCTCTCTCTCTATATATATATATATGCACCAATCTAATTCTTTATGATGAACTATGATTTTCTTTTGAAAAATAAAAAATAAATGGAGAACCTGTACGGCTTTCACTACTCAGAGCAGTCATCTATGGCTCCTCCGCCGCCGCTATTAACATCGACCAGTCACAACGTGATTTCATCAATCGGTGCCCAGTTAGTCCGGTCCGGACCGGCGCAGTTAGTCCGGTCCGGTTGTTCTTCATCGGATGCAGAGTCGTCTAAGGTTGTCTTGCAGCAGGACGAGGATGAGGTTTCCAAAGTTCTTGGTGCTAAAGTTGCTTCTCATCCTCTTTTTCCTCAGCTTCTCCATGCCTACATCGATTGCCAGAAGGTACTCTAATATATGAATATAAATATATATATATATGATTTGAACGATATAAGTTTGCAATATTCAGGTATGATTTTCGTCATCACATATATATATATATATAGAGTGGCTTAGGGACCAAACCCTTTTTAAATTTGTTTTCTTCAACCAATGAATCAGTTATACTTAGGAAGTTAAATTTTGTGTTTTAATTTTCAGGTGGGAGCGCCGCCAGAGATGGCGCAACTATTAGATGAAATCAGAGGGGAGCATAGTGATGTGTGTCAGATATCTACCTTCTTCGGTGCTGATCCTGAGCTCGATGATTTCATGGTCTCTTTTTCAAAAAATTCATTAACTAAACTGCAAACCCTAAGTTTCGGTGTCTTTCTTAATTAATTCGATTGATCAGTACTCAGGTTAATTGTACTCGGTTTATTTTTGCTTGTTGCATCGAAGGATACGTATTGCAATTTATTGGTGAAGTTCAAATTGGATCTCTCAAGGCCTTTTGACGAGGCAACCGCGTTCCTCAACGACATGGAAACGAAGCTTAACTCCATCTGCAATGGTCCTCATGCCAGAAACAACACTCCTGAACCTGGTCTCTCTCTCTCTCTCTCTCTCTCTCTCTAGTTTTCTGTGATTTTTTAAATCGAGACATATAGCTAATAAGTTCAGTTAACAAGGTTTGCATCTAATAAATTAATGTGGAAAACATTCACTCATAAAATAATACGAATTAAGGTTCTCAGGTTAGCCAAAAAGGCCTAAAGTACACTTGATGAGGAACTGGCTCACATGGAAGCACTGTTGTCATGTGGTTTATGTTTTCTTATACGTACGTCGTTAGCTTCCTTAATGATAAGATCTACCTCCTTCAGGACACATGTGTGGGGAGTGCACTTCTAAAATTGCGATTTTAGTTTTTGTGTTGATTAAAATACAAACCAAAAAAAGAAACATGGACTTCTTTTTTCAGCGTATATAGACTAGTTTATTTATTCATGTTTTTCGACTTCCCATCACCGAAAGTGAGTTGGTTTAATATGTGAGAATTGTTGATGAATTTCTAAATTATTTTCTGTTAATAGTACTTTTTCACTGACACATATTAGTGGACTTCTGTTTCTGTTATTGCTGTTGAAGGATGTTAGTGTTTTTGGTCATGTAATATAGACAAGTAATTGAGTTTGGCATTTCTTGGTACAGCTGTTTAGCTTAATGAAACTCTCTCTATATATTGATAACGAATACTTCAATCGCATGTGTCTTTAAACAGTTTTTGGTTGCATGTGATGTGCTTGATGACCCTCTCTATGTGTTTAAATTTTGAGAAATGCTGTATAGCTAGAAAAAATTTGACATATTTCAGCTTGAATTTATCAAGATTCAAGGTGGTGATTGGATGAGTAAATTCGGCAATGACCACTCATCAGTCCAAAAGTCAATAAACTTGCTTGATTTTGCAAAAATTATGGCAATCTAATAATTTTTCTTGGATTTCATGATATAGAGAGCTTTATATCTTAGTACGTAGCATGTTTATATATTTTATTAAACAGCACTTAACAAACATTATTCCAACTATTCAGCGGTCAATTAATATATACATAATACTTTTATGATTAAACTACATACACGTATAAAAAATTGATAAAGGTTAATCAATTAAATGTATATATAGTTGATAATCACCATGATGTTATCTCATGATTGTATATGAAAATGCATGCTAGAAGCTTGCACTAGTTAAAAGGTATATGTTGTACATTAAAAGAATAATTGTATAATTATTTTGGGTTTATCTAATCTCATGTTATATGAGAGAAGATCTCTCGTGTTATAGACACAAATGTGGTGGAGCCCATCATTTACAAAAAAAAGGAAAACAAAAAAAAGAGTCACGATTTATTTTTGATGAGTCTATTGGAGATAAAACTAATCTTATGTTGTATAAATTTTAGGTTTGTTTTTCTTATGAAATAGGCTACCTATGTTTCGCGCCCTAACTCCTCCGAAGCAAGACACTCACCAACACCCACACCACTAACCGATCGCCTCCCGGAGCCCTACCACCGTAAAACGTCTCACTTAATTGCCTCCTCCACCATGTACACATTATACTACTAGCGCATCTCCTCCTTTCATCTCACTGGTGGTCCCACCCTTTTTGTCGGCATCTTCTGCCTTTGCTCCAATTGTCAGCACCGTCAGGTGTTAGTCACATGTCCAAATTTTGGTTGTTTGACCCGTCTAGGATCAAACCCGGCCAACTTGTAATTGTTAATGTATAGATTGAGTTGAAATTATATTCGTAATGGGGTGGTAGGTCTCGCAACTATAATCAGTGTCACCTCGTTGTGAATATAATTCCCACTCAACCTATATAAACAATTACTGGCAGATGGGTCAAAAAGCCTCAGCTTTTGTGCTATTTTTGCCATGTTTAACAAAAAGCTGTTATCTCCTCCACCACCGAGTAGCTTGTTCACTCCTGATCAATATTGGAATTTTGAAATATGATGAAATCATATATTCATTGGTAACGAGCTAAGTGATATTCACATAAATGTAAAAACTTATAAATTCATTGCGTTAAAATTTTGGGTTGAGATATAGTGTCGAATCTAGGGGTGTAAATGGGTTGGGCTAGGCTAGGCTTTGGCTTAAATAGGCCAAGCCTGTGTAACAAACATTGGGTATGGTCTGGCCTATTAGCCTGTGTAGGCTCCAAATTACAAGTCTGGTCTGACCTATATTTAAAAAATAATAGCCTTGACCTAGGCCTATTAGCCTGTTAGCCTGTTTAAGCCTATTAAACATTCAACAATTAAAAAATAATTAAAATAATATATTTTATTATTCAAAATTATTAAATAATAATTTTATTTATCATATTTTAAATAAATAATACGATATAGGCCGGCCTGTAGGCTTGTAAGTTCGAATGTGCAAAAAAGCCTATGGCCTGTTTTCTTTACTACTTATAGTAGGTCAAGTCTGACTTAATATAGGCTAGGCTGTACCATTTACACCCCTAGTCGAATCCATTTGTTATAGTTGAGTTAACTTAATCCATTAGTGATAGTTTCAGCCATAGGCTTCTCATGGCCCACCTGACACTCATCACCCACCAGACCTCAGTTCCATGCTTCTGAATCTTAATGATCTCCACTCTGTAGGGGTGTGCATGACAACCATTCTATTCCCTAACACTGTTTTTGAAAAGAAACAATTCTTTTCTATTTTTGTTCCTTGGAACAGTTTCTGAGAATAAAAAATGTGTTTGATAACATATTCAATTTTTATTCCAAGAATGAGAATTGCTTTTGATAACACAACAAATAATATAATAAAAAATAATTTCTATTAAATATAAAAAATGGATCATAATTTTTCTTTCCGTATGGTGTGGTTGTGGTGGTGGTGGTGGTGGTGGTGGTGGCGGCGGCAGAGGGTGGCATGGTGGTGGCGGTGGCGATGGAGGTGGTGGTAGGTGACAGTGGTGGTGGTGGTGGTAATGGTGGCGGGGTGGTGGTGGTGACAGTAGTGGCTGTGACGATGGTGGTGGTGGTTGGTGGCGGCGACGGCGGCGATGTCGGTGGTGGCTGCAGCAATTATAGTGGTGGTTGGTGACAGTGGTAGTGATGGTAACGGTGGCGTTGTGGTGGTGGTAGTGGTGGTAGAGGTGACAGCAGTGGCTGCGACAATGGTGGTTGGTGACATTGGTGGCGGCGACAATGGTAGCGGTGGCATGGTGGTGGTGGTTGTGATGGCATCATGGAGATGGTGGTGGTGGTGGTTGCGGCTGCGGCGGTGGCGGTGGTGGTAGGTGACAGTGGTGGTGGTGATGGTGGCAGTGGTGGCGGCGATGGTGGTGGTAGTGACGTGGGTGGTGTAATGGTGGCGATGGTGGTGGTGGTCGGTGGCGGCGGTGTCGATGGTGGCTGCAACAATGATAGTGGTGGTTGGTGACAGTGGTGGTGATGGTAGCGGTGGTGGTGGTGGCAGTGGCGCGTGGTGATGGTGGCGGCAGTGGTGGCGGCGATGGTGGTGGTAGTGACGTGGGTGGTGTAATGGTGGCGATGGTGGTGGCGGTCGGTGGCGGCGGTGTCGATGGTGGCTGCAACAATGATAGTGGTGGTTGGTGACAGTGGTGGTGATGGTAGCGGTAGCGGTGGTGGTGGCAGTGGCGCGTGGTGATGGTGGCGACAGTGGTTGCGATGATGGTGGTGGTGGTGGTTGCAGCGGTGGTAGTTGTGGTGGTGGTGATGGTGGCATGGTGGTAGTGATGGGTGGAGGTGGTGGTAATGGTGGCGGTGGCATCGTGGTGGTGGGGGTGGTCACGACAACACTAGTGGTACGACGACGACGACGACGATGGTGGCAGTGGTCATGTTGGGATGATGGTGGTGGTGGTAGTGATGGTGGTAGAGATGGAAAGTGATTAAGAGATATAAGTATTTCTCATTTTGTGCCCGAGAACAAAAAAGCAGAAATTTTCTGATTCTTTTTTCTTTTCCCCAGCACAAAAATTAATTCGGTTCATCCTGAGAACAAAAAATTAAATCGGTTTTACCAAACGAGTTTTCTATCCATTTCTGTTCCCAGGAACAAAAATTAAAAAAAAAAAATTGATTCCGGAAAAGTTGTCATGCGCACCCTAGGTCTTACATCTTATTCATCGAATTAGTTTATAATAGGAAAGATTATTTGCAATGGGCACCGGTAATTTATCTATATTATCCGTAAGGGTTTTAGGAAATAGAATAACAAAAATTTGAAGACCTCACTATCAAGCTGATAAGATAGATATCCAGTTGAAGAGAAGTGTTATAATTATAAAAGGGATAATTATACAATCTTAACTTTATTTGTCTATATATACGACATATTATAATAGAACAAAATCTTAACATATTTATTTCTTTATATTTAACTCCTTTTAAGAAAAAAATTACTCATATATATGATGTATTACTTCGTAGATAAAAAAAATATTTTAAATTCTAAATTCCAATTAAATAGCTTAAGATCACTAAAAGCATATATAACTTTGATTTGTAGAATAAAAAATTGCAAATTTTATGTCTCTTTGTAACTGTTTTATTTTATGTTATAGAACTAGCAGTGTATCAAATAATATCCCTTTGCATGTCACAGAATTATTCGCCGAGACCCTAAAAAAACTTTTGCTGGCCTAGATGACTTATTCTTTTGAAAAACTTCTATGTGAACTAATCATTGCATGTAATTCGATGATCTGTTTCTGAGTGCTATAATTGCAAAAGTAGAAAAGAGCACGGTGGAATTGGATATATATTTGAAGCGGTTAATGGTAAACAAATTCACTTTTCGATAATATTAGTTAATATTCAGACTAAATTGATTCATTTCATAATTAGGCGGGTGGCACATTCTTGGTAGCCCTTGCGAGCCTTTATCATTTTATTATGGGCACGGATCGAAATATCCGTGTCATTTGTACCTCAGATTCTTTAACATGAAGTTCTTTATTTCTAATTGTATGTCATGATACTTGTAATGATGTCTACTAGACAGTGTGGATATAACGAAAAAGTGCATGAGTCCAAACAGAACTGATATAATAATACCACGACACTTCTTCCTCACAATATTTTCAACTATAACAATTTTCTTACTTTATTCATTTCTCTCTGCTTTTTGCTGATAGAAATCAATGGCCCAAACTCCTCCTATGAGGGTCTGTAACAAACTTTTCTCTTAAATAAATTATAGTCCTTTCAAGCATGCATGGATCAGAAAAAGTCTTTGTTTAAAGTACTCAAATGGAAACAGTTTGCATTCAACTTCAAAGAGGTATGATTATGTCCATCATAAACCCTGAGAGACAAGATGTGCCTTGTCTTTGATCTTTATCATAATTAACACATTTAAGATTCTGTTCTATGTAGTAGTGTGGTTGCACGTGTTGTGAACTGATCGATCTCATCGTTTCCTTAGAAATCCGCTGTCTCTTTCCTTTTCTTTAATCTGATCACTTTTGCTTTTGGGGTTATCCATATAAATTAGTTGAAACCGTTGTACTTGAACACGTTCGGAATTGTTGCATAGTTTTATTATAGTAACACCAACTGCATGTACTTTATAAGATACATGTTCATTGGCTATTTTGGGTATATATATATATATATATATATATATATATATATATATTAGTTCCAGTTCTGGATAAAGCTACTTTCTTTAATTTGAGCATTGCGCTGGATCTGGAGATTATGGAGTGGAAAGAGTTTAATTTCTCTGGATCATCCAGTTATGAAGTACACACACAGAGGATTTATATATAAATGACTTTATATGCTTTTTCAGTTGATTGTATGCTTGTCTTGGTTATTTAAATGTATACTATTGCAGCAGGACTCTGTTGACACTTGACATATGTTCGAAAGACTTATAAAAGAACTACTAAATACTGCTAATTAAGTATATGGTATTTGCTATTTAGGGTCAATCTTCTAGGAATTAACTCCAATAATCTTCTAGGAAGATCTCTTGATGCTTAAGACAAATGGCAATTTAGCCCTTGGCAACTAAATTTGTTGTCCCTGCTTAGAGAAGTTGTAAAGTTTCTATTTAACTTATGTTAAATATTTTTAACCTAACATTAGTGGAGGAAATTGAAGAACGAGCTAAGAACATTCCAAGGGCAAGCCATTAGTTTAGGTCATTGCATGGTTAGTAATTCTGCTTGATGCAGATTTTTTGTCTTGGAAGGTAATGAAAGGAGCAGAAAGACAATGAGGGGAAGAGAAAAGTTTCCTTGGGTGTTTAAAATTTATAGGAAGGTAAATAAACTCAAAGAGGATGTATTTTCTCTCTTTTCCTCTCAAATGTCCATTATAATATAAACGTAAAACAAGGGTATTAGAATTCTGATTAATTGGTTCCTTTACTTATCTTCCAAAGGGAAGATATCCTATTATATTTCTTCCTTTCCTTTTCCAACTCATCCCTACTTGTTTCGTTTGATTTCATTAATAAAAAAATAAGAAACAAATCAAAACACAATGTCCATTTGGGAAAGTTGTTTTCTTTTTTAGAAACTCTAGATTTTAGCAAGGGAAATATAAGAATAATGTTGTACGAAGGAAAATATGATCATGTTACATATTATGACTATATATTACGGGTAGTACATAGTTATAATGTTAAAATTATTTTTTCTCTCTCAGCCACTTCACCCGATGACCTCCTAAGAAAAATGAATTTTTTTTTAATATTATAACTATGTATTATTTGTAGTAGATAGTTATATTTTTTTGCAGGATCAAATTTCTTTCCTGAAACATGACAGATTGAAACCCCTTTAAAGAAAGCACATAAAATATTTTTTGAACTTTTCCAAAAGCATTTTTTCTAGAAATTATTTGTTTAATTGTACCAAAGAGCATATTTTGGCTGGCTTTTGCAAAAAATAAAACGAAAGAAAGATCAATCTCATAAAAATCACGCAGTACTAGTTATTGCACACATATATATATATATATATATATATATATATATATATATATATATATATATATATATATATATTGTTTGCCAATTCTATGGTTGTTAAACATATGATATTATAAATAAGAGTCTGTTGTTAAGTTATTTGCTAGAAATTTCTTGGCTGATTATATATTTCTAACATTAAAATTGATTCAAATCTAGCAAAATATGGTAGATCCGTCCACCAACCATGTGGATCAACTGGTAAGGGATTATTCTAGCTTAACCAGTTCTCTCGAGTTTGAGTCCCTGAGAATGCAGTTGTATTAAAACTTATTAGGGAAAGCTTTGCCACTATTATGGTCCTACCCAATTAAAATTGGATTAGTTGAGTAATCGATAAATCAATAGATAATACTCATAAAAAAAATGGTAGATCCTTGTTGAAGTTGCTCTTCGCTTTATCTCCATTACTGCCGCCTTTTTGGTGTTTGACATATCAAATAATGAATCTATCTTAATATGGGATATGTGCCATAAATGGTTTATTTTCTCTGTGGATCGATATGCCATTGTTAATCGATTATCAAGCCTGTCTATCTCATCAAACACATTTTGATGCATGAACGTACAAGTGAAGTGACCAAGTGAACTTTGTGGGTTGAACTTTATAACTAATATTTTTGCTTTGATCAATTTGATAGATGAAGTTACTGCGTCATCTGAGAAGGATTTTATTAGGAAGGAGAAAGAGGCAATAGAAAGCAAGAGGATAGTTGAAGTTCAAGAGCTGAAGGATAATCTGCAACGTAGATATAGCAGCTACATTAGTAGTCTAAAGCACGAGTTTTCCAAAAAGAAGAAGAAAGAAAAGCTACCAAAAGAAGCAAAGCAAATCTTACTTACATGGTGGAATATTCACTTTAAATGGCCATACCCAACGGTAATTTAAACAAACATCTTTTCTTCCAAGCATCAAGTTAATTCTTCGTGTTAAAAAAAAAGAGGGAAAAGTGTTTATCCTTTTAAATGACATAATTTATATCCTTTCACTCTCACAAAGAGGTGGGACCCACACCTTTATTTTTTTTGTCAACTCTCTCTCTTTCTTTATTTATCTCTTTCTCTCTCTTAAAATGACACAACTTTACATCCTTTAAAATGACACACACTTTACCCAAAAAAAAAATGGTGCATAATTAGGTTCAGTCCATAAAACTTTATTCATTTAATTAAGATTCCTATTTGTCTTTATTAATTAAGCACTTGTCTAGACAATTGCTTTTAATTTGCCCATGACAAGTAGGTTTTAGTTTTAAATTTTAATTACAAAGTTGTCATTATTGGCCCAGGACGCAGATAAGGTTGCCTTAGCTGAATGGACTGGCCTAGACCAGAAGCAGGTAAACAATTGGTTTATAAACCAAAGGAAGCGCCATTGGAAATCTGAAATGCAAGCTACACTTTCGGATGGTCTCTATGGACCTCTCTGCTTCAGTGAGAGTGACTAAGGTGGGATCTCCCCAATTAATTTGCTTTTGCTGAATATAAATTAATGATGATTCATCACAATAAGCGAAGATTTTTGTGGTCATGAACCTCTTTTGCTTTATTAATTCTTTGTTTTGTGAATGAGGAATATAATTAATTTGTCAATAAATTGCTAATATATTACCCCAATTGTCAACCTATGCATGGTTTCTTCCTTGTTAATATTTTCCCCATTTTTCGAGTCTTGTTGAATACCCAAAATTCTTATTAAAAAAAATTCAGGCAAGTTACATTTTACCAACATGATTTATTAGTTTTATTTCACTTTTTATCCTAATTTATGCTATGGAGCACGTTACACCTGAATTTTCCCTATCTAATGCAACATTCCCCCTTTTCATTTAAATTAAAAAATCACTTAACGTACAGTAAAAAAAATTGGGTAATAAAATAGTAAAATTTTATAAATGAACAAAAATAAGCATCTTTCTCTCTTTTTATTTTATTTTTTATTTTTATCTTCAATACATGTTTGGGTTTATATAAGTCCATTTCACTCATAGAAGGAAATGAACACTCTTGTAGTTGTTGGATTCTCAGCTATTATAACATAGCTTTTGGGCTCTGGCCGATATATATATATATATATATATATATATATATTTCCCAATTTGCACAGATGGATTCCTTTCATATCACTAACAAAGGTATTGAGAGAAATTCAATTTCAGCTCCACATCTAACTCCATCAAACAATATTACTTCATCTCAAAAAATAAGAAATCAACAAACTATTGCAACTGCTAGTTGTTTGATCCTTCTCTAAATCCTGTTTTTCAAACAATTGAATGTAGAGCCGGAACCAGTCATTGCACCAAGCCAACAAACAAGAGCATGCATACATATAACTGTCTTCCAGCTCATGGGCCAATCATATGCTCGTATATTTGAGTTTAGAGACTCTAACACCTCGTGTATACTCTGTTTGTTATCATATCATCGTATTAAGTAGCGCTTAATTAAAATGCGGAACTAACTTTTTCTTTTCAATTATGACGTCATTATTATTAACCAAGTTGATTAATTAATCCTTTTCCAAAACATTGTCTGTATGTAAATTGCAAATAAACAACTAACTGAAATACCTCATGTATAAATAACTGTGTCTCTAGTCACGGAACTACAACACGTAGACGGGACAAATCCTGATAGTTTATACAACTCAAAACTACAAGCATACTAACATCAATGTGGCATGGACAACCCCTATGCTCACCAAATAAGGCAGCAAGTCCAACAAAGTCTTATCTCAATAACAACATAAAGACAGTAAACATATCAGCATCCAATCATAGTATAATCAGCATGCAACAATCAACTAAGCTCCGGCCTCCTGCCGCCCGAGGTCTCAACCCCCGAGGTACCTGAACCTGAAAATGTGCCCCAAACGTGGGGTGAGATCTCTAAAAATAAATCTCAGTAAGACAAGCGGTCCTCAAGGACTCTTTCGCCCCAAGCTCACTTACAAGTATAAATATAAGTTCGAAAACAGTATTTACCATGCATGTTCATGTTAAGGCATTTAAATCATGACAATATATTTCTTGCTCAACGAGCCGTACAACTCAATTAATCATGTGATGTATGCAAGTGCGGTTCGACTGGCCAGGGAACAGGATAGGGATTATGCACGTCTGCGACCTATCTAAACATAAGGGTCGTAGCCTTATGCCTTACACACCAGAGTCGCTGTCTGATCGTGTAAGTAATCAACATCACATTCATACATTACATCAACAGTTAAATTAACACATCTCAAGCATATATTAATGCATATTTCATCTTTCATAAAAGCATACATGCATATAAACCACCCTTCCATGGAGGTCGGTGGAACAAGAACAGATCAATCCAAGGACACGAAAGCTTACCTCAAAGCAATCAGTCCAAGCCAAAGTCTTTACTAGCTCAATGTCTACAAACAGCACAATCATAATATATTTATAACAGAAATAATCATTATTATTTAAAGCCCAAGGTTTCACTAAGTGTTTAAGGCTTTCCAACTTGTTTTAATTGATTTTAGGCTAATTCTGCAGGAGGTATTCGAATACTCCTCGATGAGTATTCAAATACTCCATGTCTCCAGAAAGTATCTGAATACTTTCACTTAAGTATTCGAATACCACAAGGTATCTGAATACTTTCCCAACAGTATTCGAATACTACTCAGTATTCGAATACTACACTATGGTCTCCGAATACTTTTCTTCCCAAAAAAGTATCTCAATACTTCTTCAATGAGTATTCGACTACCTGCTGATGAGTATTCGAATACTACGCGAAAAGTATTCGAACACTTATCAGACAGAATGCATAAACTGGAATTTCCCTTTTTAGACATAGATTATCAGTCTTTAACTCAAATGTTCAAAATTTCCCTTTTTAATGGATTAATCAAGCTAAAATCATGAATATAGAATGGAGGTGATCATGGTATATGTAAGAACTCGCACCGTTAAATTAGGAAATTAATTAATTAATTATGAGATTAATGAGAGAAGGCTTAAATAATTATAGTAAGTGAGTATTAATGTTGAAAGTCACTTTTTTGACGAAAAGTGCAGATATCGATTCTGCCTCACGGTATAAAGGCGTACCGATGAAGTATCCCGTAAAATTATGAAAAGTATGTATATATCACTAGAATAATATCCAGGACTAGCATAACAAGTTTGGAGTCGAAATAATGAGAATTGGTGTCAGAACTGATACCGGCTACGTAAAAGCACGTACCAGCAAAGTGCTGTGAAAAATAAAATAAAAATATGACAAATCTTAGAAAAATGGTTAGGTTCAGAATCCTAAGTTTGAGATTAAAATGCTAAGCGTAGCTATTAGTGTTAATACAATGCGATTAAAGTTTAAACCACTATAAATGTTTGTTGGCACATGATCCTAGGTCATTTCTGGTGCCTCCTACGTGAGAGTTGGCTGCTGTGTTTCTCTTCAAGCTGACCACCCTTCCCTCTTCCTCTTTTGAGCCAAAGTGACTACCTTTCTTCACTTTACCTTCATCAAAACACCATTATTGGGTGTGGGGAAGACTTGAGTGGGTGAGAGGCTCTTGTTTTCTGAGTTGTGAGTACTGTTTTGTGAGAGTCTTGGGCTGAGTTCTTGAAACTTATTGTGGGAGCCATTGTCATGGTATTGTGAGCTTCAAGGAGTGATCTTTGAAGAGTAAGAACCATTCTTGGTGTGCCATTTTCGTGCATCTTGAAGTCAGAACCTTAGGAGCTGCATAGAGATCTCCAAGAGCATTCCTTTTTCTGTTTTGAACTATTGGCATGCATCACCACCTTTGTCTTGAGTTTTCTTTGGAAAGAATGGACCTTGATGCATGTAACAAGCTAAAGTTAATAACTTAAGGGTGGGTAAGGTTAAACACACCTAGAAATGCATGTTTAAGCTTCTGGAATGGTTAAAAGAACAACCTTTGGGTGATATCTTCGCAAAAATGCATAACTGCATTTTGTCGGAAAATATCTGGATATGATATCCGGATATGATATCCGGATATTGATATCCGAATATGGGGTTTTGGATATTCGGATATGGATATCCGGATATAGCCCCGACAAATATCCGGATATTCTAGGAATTTCGAGACAGTCACTGTTCTGTTCGGACAAAATGGTATTTTTGGGTTTGTGGACCCATGATTGGTTATGTTGAACCTCTGTAATAATTAACTAAGTCAGAATCAAATGGATTAAGGGCTTGTGGCTTTGTGAGAAGCCTAAAGACATGAAACGAATGAGGAAAACATTGTCGTTATGTCATGAACTATCAGAATACGAATATTGATATGATTGCTGGTCCAAACAGATTGTGCTTGTTCCACCGACCTCCATGGGAGGGTGGTTATATGCATGTATGCTTTTATGAAAGATGAAATATGCATTGGTATATGCCTGAGATATGTTAGTCTAACTGTTGATGTCATGTAATGTATGAATGTGATGTTGTTTACTTACACGATCAGATTGCGACTCTGGTGTGTAAGGCATAAGGCTGCGACCCTTATGTTTAGATAGGTCGCAGACATGCATAATCCCTATCTTGTTCCCTGGCCAGTCGAACCGTATTTGCATACATCACATGATTACTGAGTTGTAGTATTTCGCTCGTCAAGCAATAGATTATATTGTCATGACTTAAATGCCTTAACATGAAAATGCATTGAAATTACTGTTTTTGAACTTATATTATACTTGTAAGTGAGCTTGGGGCGGAAGAGTCCTGGAGGACCCCTTGTGTAAGAACCTGCACCGTTAATTAAGGAAATTAAGTAATTAATTATGTTAAATTAGGAAATGATTCCATAATTGACCCTAATAATTATTAAGAGGCTTTAATAATTATGATAAGTGATTAAGAATGCTGAAAATCGTTTTTCGGAAGAAAAATGCAGATACCGGTTCTGCTAGTCGGTATAAATGCGTACCGAAAAAGTATCCCGAAAAATTATAATAAGTGCATGATAATTCCTAGAATAATATATAGGACTTGTAAAACGAGTTTCAAGTTAAAATAATGAGAACTGATGCCAAAAACTGATACTGGCTATGAAAAGCGCGTACCGGAAAGGTGCTCCGAAAAATATAATAAAAATATGATAATTCTTGTAAAATTGAGTAGGTTAATAATCCAAAGTTTGGGATTAAAATGCTAAGCGTAGCAATTAAATTTAATACTGTGTGTTTTAATTTTAAGTGAGCTATTTAAGGACCCTTGCACATGATCCTAGGTCAGCCACCCTTCATTTCTACGTGAGAAATTGCTGAGTCTTGTGTGCAGCAGCCTTGCACCTCCTTCTTCCTCCTTTGAGACCTCCAAGAGACCATTTTTCTTGGTTGTTTCTTCTTTTAAACACCTTGGGTGAGTGGGAACTATCATTGTGAGAGTGTTGTGAGCTCCATTCTGAGTTGTGATGCTGTTGTAGTGAGCTTGAGGTTCT